GAAGAGACTCCACAGCCTCCCTGGGCAACCCATACCAGTACTCTATCACACACAAGGGAGTTTACTGATATTCAGGCACTCAATTGCCTCTTGCTTCTTGTCCTGTCCCTGGGCATTACTGAAAGGAGCCTGGCTGCATTCTCTTTCCACATTTCCTTTAGGTATTTATATAAATTGATAACATCCTCTCTGAACCTTCTGTTCTCCAGACTGAAGATTCTCAACTCTCATCATCTCCATGCACTTTACTGGACTCCTTCCTACAGTTCCATATCTGTCTTTCAATGAGGTTCCAGAACTAGACACAGTATTCCAAGTATGATTTCATCAGTGCTGAGCAGAGAAGAAGTATCCCTGAGCACGCCAAGTGCTGTGAATTACATTTTTTGGGTTGAGCACACAAGGACTTGCTGTAAGTTGTAGCATATGCAAGTGAGAAGCTACAGACTGCAATTATGTGTCTAGAAATTAGGCACCGTAGTTAAAGCAGCAAGCCTTCCTGTTGCATCTGCTCTCTCATCTTAATGAATTTTTGCTGAAATGATTAATATGTTACCAGTATTTTTATGAGTAATATGTTATAGTCTTTATCATAATCATTCTGAGTTTTTATTTCTTTTTACTGTTTCTCTTCATATTTATTATAGGAATGTTATGGGAAGGAAATGTATATCACTGTCACAAAGAAAGGAAGTACCAGGAACTGACAACAGTACACCAGGAACAATATATGTACATTTCATAAAGACTGTGATTTCCTTTTCCTAAGACACTTCTGTGAATGGAAGTCAAACATGTGCTGACCTTTTTTGCTATTATGTCACTCAGAAAACACATCTGCTGGGCTGTCTGCAATCATCACAAAGAGGTTTTTGTTACTTTTTTTTTTCTTTTTTTTTTTCTTTTTTTTTTTTTCCCCTAAACAGAGAGAATACAGTGTACTTTCTCCTTAACCTCATTTAGAAGTGTTTTTCCTGGACATATTCCTAATAATTTGTCCCGAAGCAAATATTGGATACACAATATTTTGGAATGATAGTCACACAGTTGCTAGCCCTATAAACAGGTTCTCAAATGTGAAGTGTCAAATAAACTTTACAGCCCACATCACCACTGTTCTTACATAAACATTTAATGCACTAGCAGTTTTCTGGTTCCTCCCTGTTGCATTACTTTTCTCACTCATAAAAGATTACAGATTACTGGGATAGTTATTAAGGCTCCTATTTCTAGGATCAATGTACTAGTTGATCTGAGTTTGTTGAATCTACATTCTATTTCCCATGATATTTTCACTGATCATCTACGTTAGCTCAATTTAGGAACTGAGTGGATTTTAAGGTATCAGTTCCCATTAACTCTGCCTCCTAATTTGTTTGAATACATTCAGGTTCAAATCCTTTTTAACTCGTAAGTACAAACACAGCGATACAGAGTTGCCTGAGAAAACATGACTGGTGTCCATAACGGAAGAAGTCACAGGGTGAACCTTCATCTTTTCCCCTAACACAGCAGGTGTTCCTCAGTTTACCATACGTGTTTTTTACTATCTGCTTTAAATTACTTCAAGACAAGGCTTTTCTATAGCCAGAGAGCACTCTGGGTGATATCAACTGGAAGAAGCTCTGTGTTGTGAAGTTGTGAAGAAACTCAAAAGAGAATACTTGCTATTTTTAAATAAGCTGGAAGCTTACATGTAATAAGCCATCTAAAAAAGCCATGAGCAAGTAGAATAATTTGCTTACTGAGCACCGTATAACAGAAGTCGTAGATCTTTGTACACATGAGCACTGAATTTCAGCAAATGAACAGATCCCTACACGTTTTATCTATTTAGGAAGAAACATGGATTACAATACTAATAGAAACTGGCAGGTGGATTTTTATCCTGGAAGATTACTTCCTCCTTTTTATTCAGAGTATCACAATAGGCTGCAAAACTAATTTACCTGTGCATCACACAGCATTTGTCCTTCTCTATGTAGTCTTCATATCAGGATGTCCTGTATTTCACTTTCACTTTTAGATATTTCCTTAATCTCCCTTACACTGACAGGCCAGGAAACAAGTTGGTTCATACATGGTTGCAATGTAACCCTCTTTGTAGAAAAGACGACAACACTGATGAATTGCACAAAGCTCCTATTAGGCTGCATTCTCTGTCCATCCCATTTCACTACTCAGACTCCTTTGTTTGGTAAAATAGGTCAGTGCACATAAAAACATTCCTTTAGGGCTGAAGAATCATGTGACCACAGCAAGCCATAAGGAATACGAATGCTAATATGGGAGGCAGCTGATTTGCACTACTTCATGAGGCCTGGAAGACTGAAATACAACAAACACAGACCAAACTGCAAAGGAAAACACTACATGATGAATCAGAAAAACAACAACAAAAAAAACCACACGTGTTTCTCATCTCAGAGCTTCAGCTATCCTGAAACAGAATATGACGAATTCCTAGAATATTCAGCTGCACAGAATGGTGCCTTAGAGGAAGAGAACATTATGACCCTCGTGAATACAATATAACCCCCAGTTTATAATACAATCCTGTCTGATTAACAGCTCTGCTCCATTCTTAACTGCCTCTGCAGAAACGCAAGCCTATGCATCCTTTCTTATCTATGCTACTAAGGATGCTGCTCATGTTTTTCAAGTGGCCCTTTTCAGACAAAGTTGAGTGACAGCAATTGCACTCATCCCTTTCAGAGAAGATGGCAGTTCAACTTTCTACCCCAGACAGTTACACACAGAAAATGAAACATCAAAAATGATGCTGTGAGAGTGGGATCAAGGTCTTCTTCTCTGTCTCCAAAACAAGGAGAGATTTGCTATTTAGTGGGAAAAAAATGTAATGGTCTAAAATGTTATGTCTGATTTCAGACAGCTCAATAGGAAACCCACTGTATTGAAGATGGCAACTGGTAAAGGAAAATCTCTTTCTCAACCCATCTTTCAGGTTCTTTGTAGCTTGGGGAAAAAAAAAAAAAAAAAAAAAAAAAAAAAAAAAAAAAAAAAAAAAAAACAGAAAAAAAAACCCATACCCTTTCCCAAGGTCAGTGTTCATGACAGTAGGTAAGACAAATGATATATTGTTTCTTCTACAGATTCTGGACCCCAAATCTGTCTTTCAGTTGGAGGCTGGCACAGACTCAGTGGACAGTAGTGCCAGCTTTGTACTTTGCGGGGTGTCTCTGTGCAAGCACTTTGCTTAGAGCTACCTAGAAACTTGTGTTTCAGACTGAGCAAAACCAAAAGCAAAAACTGCTTTTGAGCTGATCACAGAATCACAGAATCACAGAATCACAGATCACAGAATCACCCGGGTTGGAAGGGACCCCAAGGATCATGTAGTTCCAACCCCCCTGCCTAGCAGGGCCACCAAACATACACATTCAGATCAGGTTGCCCAGGACCCCGTCCAACCTGGCCTTAAACACGTCCAAGGACGGGGCATCCACAACCTCCCTGGGCAGCCCGTTCCAGGGCCTAACCACTCTCCTAGTAAAGAACTTCCCCCTAACATCCAACCTAAATCTTCCCTCCTTCAACTTAAAACCATTTCCCCTAGTCCTGCTGTTATCAGCCCTTTTGAAGAGTTTACTCCCCTCCTGGGTGTAGGTTCCCTTCAGGTATTGATAGGCTGCAATGAGGTCACCCCGCAGCCTTCTCTTCTCCAGGCTGAACAAGCCCAACTCCCTCAGCCTGTCCTCACAGGGGAGGTGCTCCAGCCCCCTGATCATCTTAGTCGCCCTCCTCTGGACCCTTTCCAAAATCTCAATGTCTTTCTTGTACTGAGGGCTCCACACCTGGACACAGTACTCCAGATGGGGCCTCACAAGAGCCGAGTAGAGAGGGACAATCACCTCCCTGTCCCTGCTGGCCACCCCTCTCCTGATGGAGCCCAGGATCCCATTTGCCTTTCGAGCTGCCAGAGCGCACTGCTGGCTCATGTTAAGTCTCTCGTCCATCAGGACCCCCAGGTCCTTCTCTGCCGAGCTGCTCTCAAGGACCGCTCCTCCCAGCCTGTACAGGTGCCTGGGGTTCTTCCGGCCCAAATGCAAAACCTTGCACTTTGCCGTGTTGAACCTCATCAGGTTCACCCGAGCCCAGCTGTCCAGCCTGTCGAGGTCCCTCTGAATGGCATCCCTTCCTTCCACCGTATCAACCGCACCACTCAGCTTGGTGTCGTCAGCAAACTTGCTGAGGGTGCACTCAATTCCCTCATCGATGTCATTAATAAAGATGTTAAAGAGCAATAAAGATGTTAAAGAGCAATATCTGATCTGTAGATGTATGCAGTACTGTATGTGGGATGTATGTGGGAAAGTTCTGAGACATCAGGAAAAGCACAGACAAATACACACACCAGCACTGAAGAAGCTAGCTCTGGCTCAGAAGCATTATCTGGGATTTTCCTTTACTTAGATTATTTTAGCCAATTATTTAACTAGACAGAAAATAACTGGCAATGTAAAAGGAGTTCCATGAAATCCATGAGATGCAGACATAGGAAACATTTATATCTGTTAAATAAAAATTGATTGAGTCATCATTTCAAATGAGATGTACAGAAATCTCTACCCATGGGAATTTGCATTTCAAAAACACAGCTATTAGGCAGTAGAGTGGAATTAGCATAGCGTTATGTAAAATACAGTAAACTGTCTGTTATCACATACAATTCAGGTCTTCTGTGATACCCCTGTGAGACAGGGGTTTAAACTGGGGCACAGATCAGTTCTCATACAATGTATTTTGCAGTAGCAAATAAAAAAAATAGAACAGTATCAAATTATTTAATATCTTTCAAAATGAGAAATGAAAGCGTGAAACTAAAATAATTCAGAATCCATTTTTTCCCCTGTAATTGTGAGTAACCTTACAACAGAACTTGTACAGTGGGAAAAATATGATCATGGAAAACTATTTCTGCCAAAATATACTGACATGCAAGTTCCTCAGGATGTTATTGAATCACATCACTACGTTACCTTCTCCTTTTGTGTAGATTGCAATGTTTCCATTTACCAAGCCAGCAAACAGGTATTGTGACATATACGTCAAGCTCATGACAGTTGATTTTTCAGGAGTGAAGAAGTGTTGAAGACGAATTTTCTTTGAGCCCTGGCAACTTTTGTAAATAGAAATGCTACAAACACAAACAAACAAAAACAAAAACAAGAAGATAAGTCTGCAAAATTCTCAACAGAATATTTACTAATAATATACTGGGGAAAAAATATATTCTTCTTCGGTACATAGGAAGACAAATATGAAAAGAACTATTTTGACCCTTCAGAATATCTAGCTAGATAATTTGCAGTTACTTAACAAAGACACTGGAAGTATAGGGGAAAAAAAAGGAGAAGCATTTATTCAATAAAGAAACATAGTTAGAATCATGCTGTAAGTTCCTTTTACAAGTCTGTCCAAAACTTCCCATTGGTTAGAAAGAAGAAAAAGGATTAAGTATTATCCATAGATCTAGGGAAAAGAGAAGAAACATTCACTATCACATATCAAATGCACTTAACATTCTGATACTTCTTACAGATTGTCACCATGGGTATGTTAGCAATACTGAATAATTAAATCTAGAATGAATTGCATCTCAAACACAAAGGCAATTAGTGCAACCAGATTTTGAAATTGTTAGAAATACAGCATTTTCCTTACACAGATTTTTTTTTTCCCTGCATGTATACCAGTTGGAAACCTCTACAAAAATTGCATATTGTTGCATAGTTAAGTTCTCATGAGTCAAAGCAAGATTTGTTCTCTTACTGAGTCACAATTTAGAAAATACAGCTTTTTTCAATTGGGCCATGACTCAGTAAGGTCATCAGCTCAACCAAAGCAAAATAATTCACATCAACAGTAAATAGCAATAGTATTTTTTTGCATGACAAATCCTGCACAATATCACGCTGTAGGAGGTTAATGGGCTCCTCATTTAACGCTTCTCCCATTTAAAAAACTTTCCAATACTTAACAATTATGCTGTAACACTGCAAAGATAATATTTATATTGTTCAGACATGACGTATGATGAATTAAGCCTCTTTCATTAAGTAAAGGTTTTATTTTTATTTTAAATAATACACAGTATATTTTAAAATCATGCAGAGCATATTTTTTCTTTAGGTGGATTTAGATAAAAATGAGGTCATTTTAAAGAAAAGAACATTTTCTAGGAAGTAACTCAAATTTTTGCTATAGAGTAATAAAGCCAATGAATAAATCATACACAGCATGCTAAAAATGAGAATCACCTTCCTTCTTCCATGCCAAGGCAAATAGTAGGCACATTAGAAGCTTTTGTAGGAACATTTTCAGAGTTGAGAGACATATTTATCTCCTTTATTTTCTCTTCTTCTGGTATGTAGACCATGCAGAGAATCCTCGATTCCACATTGAAGCACTCAATAACCTTAGGGCCAGAGCTTTGAAATGAGACTATTGCGATCTGGCCCATCTGATTAGTACAACTGCCAATCTGAATTGGAAAGAGAAAAAATAAAAATAATAGACAGAGATTGATAACTGTCTCCAGCAGGAGCAGCATTAACAAAGAGGAATATTGGAAAGTTAAAAAGGGCAACTCAAGATGAACAAGAAAATAATTCAGCTCAGAATGTTTTAAAACTTTACATAAGAACACAGAATTCCCCTGTATACTCACAGAAACTTTTTTTTTTTTTTTATAAAGGACAAATATTTTGGCCTATTCTGAAATGTACATACAGAATGTATTACAATTAGAATGAGCAGTTGTGTAATGTATTATTTTTAAAAACCAGCATTCTTAGTTATCTCAGCTACTCTTGAAATTGATAATATAGTAGAAGCTTGTCCTTTGAAGAGTAACAGGTCTACACATAAATGCTCTGCTGCAACAGAACGGGGGATTACCAATACCATCAGATACATGTTCTTCAATTTCTCCTTCATCCAAATCTAAATATCATCAATATGTTCACAAATATTTTAGGAAGCTGGGAAGAGCAGAACAATAAATTGTGCACCTAAGCACCAACACATGTTTATACAGTGACTCCCTATGCATGTATGAAATGAAAAAACATGGCAAAGAAGAAGAAAGAAAATTATGCAGTAGTAGAAAGACTTCATTGACATGTATTTGTGATGACTGTTTTCAATTAACAAAAAGAAAATACACAAGTCATCCTGAAAAAGACCACTGACAAGAACTACTTTTAACTTTACCTTTTAACTTTCAAGGGTTCCAAAATGATGTCCCTTAAAATCTCAGTTTTGCAGTAACAAGAAAACCTGATGAAATTTTTAGCATTTAAAAAACAAAACAAAAATAGGCGATGCCACTTTGCTAGAATATCAGCACCTTTAGGTCATAATAATGTGCTAGTACATTATTTTCCTATGTATACACTTAAACAAAATGCTTATAGTTAAAACATTTTTCAAATATGGAACAGACAAAAGGACAGTGTGAGCACATACAGCTTTAAATAGCATATAACTCACATCTAACTGCGCTCACCTGATTTCATTCTGTGCAACAGTAACAATCATACATAAATAGAGTACAGTACTAGTTATCTTCTACAGAAGTCCATCTTAAATAATTAAATAAAAATAAAAAAAAAAATAATGATAATAAAATCCATATGCTGCTGATTGTCACAAAAAACATCTCCAGAAAGAGACAAAGTTCTCCGCAAGACTAAACTTACCCAAAGAAAACCATGTTCCATGGAACAGGAATCTGACTCCGTTTCTCCAGAGAGGTACAGTTCAGGGTTATAGGCAGCACATTCAATCTTCAAACAAACAAAAAATGTCAACAGTTAAGGTTAAAAAGATATGCCTGATTCAGTCCTATTCAATCTGTAATTAACTAAATAAATCATTTAAGGATATCACAACGTCACAGAAAAGAAGCCAAGAAGTCAATCTAGCCCATCCAGTTCCAGTGGGCAGGGTCAACTGCATGTGTATCATTCCTAGCACATTCTTGTCTACTCTTACAGACATTAAAAGCTAAAGACTACAAATTATTCACCTGATCTGTACAAAGGCTTCACAGAGCTTCAAATTTCATTACTCTTTTTCCAACCTAAAGTCATCCCTGGTGTAAATGCTAACCTTCTCATCTTAGCAATCAGATATTACCTTCCCTTCTATAGCGTCCTTTCACATATAAGGCTGCTATATGTCATGACCCCCTTTGAGTCTCCTCTTCGTTAGGCTCAGTGAGCACGATCACTAATTCATTTAATTATTTAGCTAAATCTTGTTTTAAACTTTTTAAGTTAGTTTCTAAAATTCTTGCTTATGACTGCTGTTTTACAACTGGCATCTCCCTACCAACTCCATATATTTGGAAGTGCAGAACTATGTAAACTAAACACCCTTCTTTAGCTGACCTGTTAAATACTTACTATGCAAAACACTACATAATGATTACCTTCTCTGAACCTTGTTTGGATGCATTCCATTGGTTATTTGCACTTTGTAACAATATCACATTTTTAACCAATTCTTACCTTGTTGCTATCTTAGAAATTGCTTTTATGGACTTTCTACTCAATCATCTCCTCAATCTGTACTTGTGTAGGTACTTAATTCTGCAAGAGAATACTGTGTGTCTGTCCTAATTACTATCACTCTCTTTATTTCTTCAAACCACTCCTTCAGGTGTCCTACTCATTTTGAATGTTAATGCTATGCTTCAAAATACCTTCACTCCCTCTCACTTCTTGTTATCGTGTCACTGTCAGTAAACTAAAAACTATACTCAGGACTTTATCATCCAGGACATTTAAGGAAAAAATAAAAATAAAAATAATCAACCCAACCCACTCCTCAAGAATTCTGCCAGATTCAAGATCAATGCAAGTCTTTCCTTGCTCAGAAAATGAAATACCAGCATACAAGCTCTAAAAAAGGCCTTTCTTGTTATTTATATCTATTTTCTCTGGTTTCCCCTAATAAAAAGGCTACATAAGCACTTCTCTATTACGAACTACTTGCACATATTTTTAACAGAGTAAAAAGGTTCTCAATGAGGTATAATATTATGATTTTAAAAAAGACAGCATCCTCTACAATTCACACTCATGTGTTTGTCTCAGACATCAGTGACATAATATTACTTGTGATTCTGGAAACAAGTTGGTTAGTATTAACTTACACACTTCAACAGAATCTTGCAACATCATCTCACTACACTGAGACTGTTGTTTTTTTTTATTATTATTTTTTTGAAGGAAACAAGGGGTCATAACTTAAGAGTTCTAAATTTCCAGTTTGTTTTTCAGAAGTGCAAAGAATTTCAAAATTCTCCCTGAAGTCAGCAGGCATTGCCGAGTGACTAGAAGTAGTAGTAATGGTATGCATTCACCAAAGCAATACAGAACAAGGATAAAAGACAGATCAGAAAAATAAAAGAACTATCTTTGCCAGTCTTAGCCTGTCTTATTTAACAAATACTGACGCTGTCTACTCATAGTGGTGATTTACAGTAGCTGTGACAGCTAAGTACTTCACTAACCAACGAAAAAGTTAACCTGCTGGCTAGGTATTTCTCAGGCTGTTTCTTACATCTCTATGTCACTTTATGTCTTACTCAAAACTGATGATGTTTTTCACAGTCAAATCCTAGTAGTTTAGCTCTCCATTTCAGTAAGCCTTTTACACAATGATGTAAATGTGCTCTGATGGCTATTACTGACTCCCTGTACTACCAAGCAGTCTGAGCAGTATGCTAAGAGTTAGCAGGATCAGCCAAGCAAAGGGCTCTTCCCACCCCAACCTCTACCCCTACATCAAAACTGCAGCTGAAGCTGCAGAAAAGTAGAAGAAATATTTAGGTGATTTCATCCAGGAATACCAAGGCCTCAAGAACATCAGGACTGACAACTGGGCTTCTGTGTTCTCCTTTGGATCTGTAAAACTACCAGAGCCATCTCGGAGCTCAGGCAAACTCTGCCTGCAAAGAGCATTACATAACTCCACAGACACGTGACCTTTCCGTCCTTTCAAAAGAAAAAGACCCTTTTGAAACTTGATTACAAGGGATGAACCTGAGCCTTTAAGGCACTTGGCACAGACCTACAGAACTTACAAATACACAGGCTCTACGGAAATGCGAGTATTTAAAATTCCCTTTAAAATAATTGTTTGGTTATTTATCCAACTGTGACACAGAAAATATTCAATAAACACAAATCCAAGTGTCTAGTAAGATATGAATGACATATAAATCTACATACTTTGTTGTTTGAGGGCTCAAATACTGTGTTCCTGCAACCCTCTTGGACTTTCTATCGCTGCTGGTCTTATACCAAAGTACACATTAGCAGTAACTTAAGAGAACTAATAGGTGAGAACTAACAGATGTATTTACATTACAGTTTTCCTTAGTAGTGACGTCACGAAAGAAAACAAACTGTAATTTCGTATAATCGTTCTATTCACCTTAAACTCCTGCTGCTTCGCCATCATCACTGGCATGTGTCTAACAAGGAGAGGATGTTTCTCCTTTTTGATTTGATTCCCATCATCTTCCACACAGAACCAACCTAACAGGTTATCCTCCGCTGTAACGGAAAGAACAAACAAACATCCCACAGCACTTTCATTGAATAACTTCTTACATCTCTCTACAGAAATAGAAAATAATTATCTTACAATTGGCTAGTAATAATCAGGCTCTTCTCATGTCATATATACTTTTGTTGGAATAAACAATAAAACTATGAGCAGAAATTCAATATAGTAGATTATGTAACTACTGTTAATGCCAAAAAAGCAACACTTAATACTAGCAAAATGTTAATGATCTTGTCAGTAGCTTATTAAAAGAGTAAAGGTACCCTTCCTCTTCCTCTTTTGAATCCTTAAAGGATACCAAACGTTTCCTCAGACCTACCAAATCTATCATCTGCAAATATGACCATTTTTCTGCCAGCAAAGTAGCACCACTACAATCTGCTATTTATCATCCTTACAACGATCCACTTCCAGCACTGATGATGCCCAGTTTTCTTTCCTTTTTTGCTGTTTTATCTGCCTATTGTGAGATGCCATAAAAATAACATATTTTGAAAAAGTGCTGACAAAAGCTGCTTTCTACTTTGCATATCCTCAATGTTTCAACTTAAGCATTCAACATCCCAGGTAACTTTTGAAACTTAGGCACTCTGAGGAAACACAGGAAATTAATAACATCATAGGACAGCACATTCCTTGCTGCTCCCACTTAGATCAGACTTGTTAGTGATAATTTCTCTAGTGAAAACTGAAAGCTTATACTAAAAAAACTGACTCTGGTCCCAAAGAGAAAAACTTATTTCATATATCCAACTAAAGAAATATTTCATCAAAATGTCATGAATGTTTATTTCATGCTCAGGAAGCTAAAAACAAATGAACCAACAGCTTTACTATCATTTCCTAGCTAAAATTTCTTGAGCTAAAACTGAAAAATTTGAACCTCAAAGGCATATGGCTGAAAAGATTGTAATATCTGAAAAGATATGTACACAATGGAGTAAATTCCTCATCAGTCAGACATGTAGTGTAACTTAATTCATTTTGATTTAGATATATCAAATAAAAATTATTATCATAGATCATACAGATCATCATTACTTTGTAAGTCAATCATTATTATCTACTGCATTGCAATTTCAAGATCTGCAGATAGAGCTTTGTAAAAAAAAATCATTTTGTATGAAAAAAGTATTACACTGCACATCTTATATATTGTATTGTAACTTGATAGGAAATGTAAGAAACCAAGAATTACCAAGGGCTAGTTTAGCCATTTGCAAATTGTTGATCCAAGACTGTTTGATAGCAGGGGTAAATGTATTGAATACAGCTGTAAAGAAAGTAGGCCGCCCAGACCTGCAAGACAAAAAATTAAATAAAATAATTGAAAAACAATTACACAAAAAGAGGCCATTCTAAATGTACTAAGTATGAGATTCAGACAGGGCTAGAAAAGTCAAGCAAGACAAAAATCCAACCATCTTCCTTTATCTTAAAGGACATAGCTCAGATGGGCAACGACAACACGTCCTTCTTCTCATGCTTTACATGAAAAGGTATGACAAGAATAATCCTCCTTGACAAATCAATATAATAGCAGCTATTCCTTGTCAAGTGCCATCACCACAGTTCCTCTCTTATCTTGCATCAGCAACCAAATGTTGAGGAACAGGAGAAAAACTACACTGCTGTTCTGAAACATGGAAGTTGCAAAAGCTTCAGCACGACAGTGCAATTTAGAGGCTAACTGTACAGACAAGAGAGCAGGAAGACCTAAAGATTCCCTGGTACATCTCTAACACACACAGCCATTTAGAAAGTTTCACAATCAAGAATTACTACTGACTTGTCCTGTTTTCCTGGAAGCTGCAGCTGAATTCTACAGCGATCTGCTGCTCTGATTTCATCTTCTTTTTTCAAGATCAATTTTTGTAAACCCGAGGTCCAGTCATGTGCTACCGATTGGTTTAAGTTCTGAAAAATTGAAAAAAGAATGCTAAGGATCAATATTCATCTACCAACCTATTTCCAATGAGCTAAAGGTGATCTTTACGTACAAAGAGTTCCCAGTACCTGGCTCTCATTTAGTTCTCATTTTTTAATCATGGATAATTTAGACAGATTTGTAAACATGCTTTAAAAATGTCTGTAAAGATTGTTAACACATATTAGCTGATGATTTACTTGCACACTGTTCAGATTTTGATGATACATACATAACACTCCCAAGGATTTGTCAAACTATGAAATGCAGATTTGCATCAATTGCTCGTACAATCCTTTTACTTCATTGCAGTGAACAGCTACCAAGAATCTATAAATTCTCTTTCTAAAGAAAATCTCAAGGAAACCTCTGTAAATCACACTGCCGATGTTTTTGTTCAAATCTTTGAGGCAAAAATGTTTACGTAGCCATCGTGGAAGCTCTGTATAGTTGCAGCCCGCTTAAGTAGGATGCTGAAACACTCATTCTCTGTAACCTAAACATAACAAGTTATTCACATGCAAGAGCACATGAATTACCAATTGTTAAAATTTTATGAAAATTAAAGTATTTTTTTAAAATAAAGAAACTGACCTCATTCCTCATCTAAATTATTTGAATTATTTTAAGCAGCTCTGTCTGGAAACATTGATTAAACGTTATGTTTTTTAAATGTAGTTGGCACTGACTGGTAGCAAAAGTGGAAAGGTTTTGTATATTTTGATTCTATCATTTTAGTGGATGAAAGTCCTTTGGTATCTGTTGCACACCTCATTCCAATAATACAGCTGAAATTCACCTCCACATTCTCATGAAATTTTTGTCCTAACAGACTGCTTCCATAAATGTCCTTCACAGTACATATTTTCATCAATTTTTATGTTCTACTTAATGTCCTTGCCTCTGAAGTCAGGATATTCCAAGAGAAACTCAGCTTTCATATACTCAAACATTTACTTACAGTCTGTGATGGCAGGTAGGAATTTTAAAATGTACTCAAGCATACATAAAACATATAAAACAAGAGGCAAAGAAGAAAGCAATTAAAAATATATTATTGATATATTTTTAAGTCTTATGAATGTGGAGAATGGAGAATTCATTCCAAAATTCAGTGTTAATGTTCTATATCTATTTGCTAGAACAAAGGCTAAATGAAAGGAATGTGAACAAAACCAAAGCAAATTGCTTTCAAAATTCATCACAACATCTATTAACATTTTTGTGATTTGCATTTAAGTACAATTTCTCCCCAAAAGCTAGAATTATAAGCTCATATGAGCATTAAGAGCTTCCTCCAAGCAACCATCCTCCTACTACCTCGTCTAACTATAGGAATCTAATTTCAAAAGACCAAAACAATTCTGTTTCCATATAAGCTTATCAGCTACTGAGGAAATGTAGACTCTTGTTTCCACCTACACTTAAAAACAACGAAGCAAAACAAGATTAAAAGACAGCTGTAATCTACTTACAGCATGAAACATTTAAAAGCAATTGAATTACTGGAGATAAAAATGATTTCTTTACAGAGAGAACATCTTACATTGACCCTAGGGAAAAACAACTGGGCTATTTTACAACAAGAATACATTTTAAAAATAAATCCAGCTTTGTTTATTACCTGATAATTTCCTTTAAGGCTGCCTATTAATTGACTAATTTGACCAACTACATTCAAATCATGTAAAAGGTTCTGCAGATCATGGTATAGTTGCCCTGGTCCCATATACAGCTTGTCTAAAATGAACAAGAACATAATGTTATATATAATAAAAAGATGTAATTCTCAGTTAAAGGAGGAAAGCATGACAAACATAATGTTATTAACATATATCGCTACTTCTTAACACTATGAAAATTAGGTTTATGAAAATAGGCTTTGCTCTTTCTAGATCATAAAAACAACTAACGCATCAATATGCAGATAGGATCATCCGAAAATCAGTGTTTTATTTATATGTATACCATAGCCATCTCACTTCCCTGCTCCAGGTGCTTTCGGTGCTCCTATAGACAGATACTTATGAAATGCATCATGGGAAGCGGTAGCAGTATATGTTATTGCATACTAGCTTTGCATATACAGGTGTTACCATTCTCATTTCCTTGTAGTTCACCTTATATTGCCTTTTTCAGTTTGTTCATCTATTATGAAGGACAGCATCATCTGTAGCTTTACTAGGAATGCACTAAAACTATGACAAACAGCAAAGTTTCACCGAGCCTCAAATCTGTAGATAATTGAATTTTTGCTTAACACCAACCAGCGGGCTTGCTGTTACATGACAATGTGCACATCCTTCAAGAGGGTTGCTTCTCATTACGTGACATAGCCAAAAAAACTATCTGTAGCCTATACTAAGGTGGTTTAAAACTCCAAATTTGTTTTAGCAAAGTAATTCAGGACCTTATAGCTACATCCTAACTCTATCCATAAACCTAACTCACAAACCTATAACTTCATTGAACCACATGAAATTTTACTGCAATCAGACAAGTGGAAAAAGGATTTGCAGTGAGGATAGCACCAAGTATTAGCAGCAGCAGAAATATCTTGCCCAAGCCATTAGTAAGTACATAAGTTTACAAAGAAACGCTAACTGAGAAAAAATATTCTGACTAATAGGATCAAATAGGCAGTTTAATGTGCAAAATTTCTGAAGCACTGCTAACACCTTGGCTCCCAGACATGATTCTAGCAGAGGGATGGCTATACAGCTCTTGCAGAAACAACACTCTCTCCCCCCCAAGCCCCACACTGACTCACACAGAGTCGGCATGTTTCCCTTTGGAATGACAGGAACCAGGCTGGACTATTTTTCCAGGAAACCCCTGCAGATTATTTATCTCATGCAGTGCAGCATTCAAGATCCAACTCCAAGCCACAGTTTTGGAAGCTAGTCTGCGGGAAGCAAATCATCCTGACCAGGAGGTTTTCAAGACTGTGCTGGCAAGAATATGAAGTAAATCTAATTCTAGCTACGTAGACCACGTCTATGTGCCAAACCCCGTCATACAAGGAGAATGCTCTCAAAACATGGTTTGAATTTTGAGTGCTCCTGAGGTCTCAGTGGCTCTTGTGGGTCCCTTTTAACACAGGATATTCTGTGATTTTGCTATTAATCTGAGGACTGCAGCTGGTGGAAGACCAGGAGCACTCACTGGCATGCTGCTGATCCCAGGCAGCCTCTTCCTCCCAGGTAACTCCACAGCCTGCTGCAGGAGCACAGGGGCCCTGGCCTGCAGGCTGGCAGCAGCACAGGGATGGCCACGTTGTGCCATGTGTGGTGGGCAGGGCAGATGGATGTCAGCACTGCGTGGCTGGGACCAGAATGGAATAAAACACCAACCAGGAGCCCAACAAAATACAACAGACCAAACACAACACTATCATACAGATCAAGGCCATCACTGGACATTTACATAATCCACTACATTAAGGCAGGAATCCGTCTGAATTCTTGAAGGCTGAAAAATCACAAGATCTAAGGGAAATGCTAAGGGTTACTTAATTTACGAATTCTCCACTTTACTGCAGGAAAACACAATGTAAACTGGAGATCTTGCTCTTGCCCAGAAAACTGAAAATTACTCTCATGCTTTTAGATGTTCTGCTAAATGGAATGAAAGGATTTAGGAACAACTGCACTTACACCATTTACCCAAGCAGAGAATAGATGCAACTTTCACCCACTCTCCTTTGCCTGTTCTGAATGTTAATTGAAAGCACAATGGAGCCTTTCTTATCCTCACAAACAAATCAGTCTTTAGGAAAAGATCATTATATTTACTGTATGCAATGAAAGGAAATAAATCCAAAGTAGACAGACCTAGGAGGAAGAGCTTTTAGGTGCTGGTCAGAATTGTTTTTTTTACACATATTTACACATACACAATACAAAATTTTAACGCTTCTGCAATTGTAGACCATGAACTTTCATTAGGCTGCATTTTCATTTTCTCCACTCCAAATACTTGAAAAAACAATATCTGAAAATCTCTCCTTGAATCTCTCTTCTTCTGCAAGGTTAAGCCTTTTTACTAAGTAATCTCAACAATAATTTCCAATTAGAATTCCTAGTTCTTAGTCAAATCAAATTGCTGATTTCAACTGGGCAACACTCAGGGTTATAAATCTGGTAAAATCTGGTTGAAATCTGAATAATACATTCAGCATTGTAAAGAACACAAATGAAATAATTTTTGCCACAAATTTCTGTACCAGAAGTTTACAAAACAAAATTAAGCCTGATTCTAAGTAATTAGTAGTTAGCCGAGTTTCTGGCAGAAGCCTGTTCACCTACACGTCATTTATAAATTCCACAGCTAAACAAAGCAAACTGCAGCACTGAAAAACACATCACAAATATTTCCAAAATTTATACTCATGGGGCTGACCAACACAAAACTTAAAGCCACAATGCCGTGAAGAGCTGAAAAACTGTGATAATTCCCTTGTATAGGATGGATACTTTCACCTGAGTGAATTTCAGCTATATTACTGATGAGCTGAGAAAACTAGAGCTCTTCAGTACAGGGAAGAGAAGTTTCTGGGGGAACCTTATAGCAGCCTTCCTGTACCTGAAGGGGACTGACAGGAAAGCTGTGGAGGGACTTTTTACAAGGGCATGTAGCAACAGGATGGGGGGGAAATGGCTTTAAACTGGAAGAAAGTAGATTTAGTCTAGATATCAGGAAGGAATTTTTTATTGTGAGGGTGGTGAGACACTGGAACAGATTGTCCAGTAAGGTCGTGGATGCTCCATACCTGGTGTTCAAGGCAAGGCTGCATGGGGCTTCAAATTACCTTGCAGGTTTAATTCCTGCCCATAGCAGGGACGTTGAACTTGACCCTAAAGGTCCTTTCCAACCCAAACCATTCTATGATTCTATGACTATTTCTGAAGTTTAAAAGCCAGGATCACTCCTTGCAGTTTCATAAAGACAGAGTTAAAAGCAAATCAGAAATAGGGCACTATTCAGCAATGTACAACAGCAAGCACTCAGTCAGAAAGACTTTGTGTTGTAGTCTTCAAAATAGGCCATACAGCAAGTTTTAACTACTTATATCTATGGATTTTCCTTGTGCTGCTATCACACCACAAAACAGATCTCCTTTACTCCCTCCTGCATCTCCAAATGCTTTTATAAATATTCTAGTTTCAGCCTTGAGAATAAGGGATAAATCTTGAATTTCATTCACTAATGGCCACCTATTTTGTCTGCATCATGCAAGTTTTATAATATTTTAATAAATCAAGATAAAAAGGAAGCAAAGAGAGTGTCAAAGCAAATAAAATAACCTGGCAAATGAAATTCTGTCATTTAGAAAAAACAAACTGAAGTCATTTTAAGCTCAACCAAGTTCTTAGTACAGAAAAGAAAACAACAACAACAAACAGTAAATAAAGAGTGCCTGTTTCCATCTTTGATGTCCCAAGATGACAAATTAAAATGAAATTGTAATGGTCAGCCACAGCAGATATCAACAGCCATGGCAATTGTTCTTTCCTGGAGGTCCTTAGCAGGCAGAAAATGAAGCAGAAAAATAACTGAGATCATAACAATGCCCTCATTGGAAGAGAATTCTCTTAGATTTCACCACTTGATTTCTATCAGGATAATGAATTAAAAATTACAGCAACTTCACCACTGAAATGGGTCCTGAAAGGGCTCCTCAACATCTTTTAAAACAGAAGGGTTTAGGTTAGGTTGCAGAATCCTTAGTGGCTAACAATACATTAACTATCAGTTGACTGAGCTCAGAACTGTCTGATGGATGATATTTCCTGGGTGAAAGTAGGTGGTAGTGGTGAGGGGGGAGGGGAATGCAGTCTGTTCATCAGATATGTTTCTCAGTGCAGAGCCAAAGTTCTGCCCGCTAAAAATGTTCCCTGACCATTACATTGGTGGGTAGCTTGAAGAGGTGTTCTCTCTTTTTCTCCATAGAAAGCACTGATAAACTCTTGGTTTCATTCCAAGGCAGATGATATGGTAGATTATTTTTTTTGTACTTTGAAAAGTTTTAGAAATGATAAAGTCATTTCCTTCCCATTTCTAAGCCACTCCTGCTATCAAGCTCCAAAACAATTTTATTGTATTTTAATGTGGGAAAAAAAAAAAAAAAAAAAAAAAGCAACACAGGAATTCAGGGATAGTTCTTCCCATCTCCACACATCCGACATGCTGCAGAGAATGGTGTGCTTGGGCAGAAGGAGAATGCCATCTGCTGTAACCAATAACCATGTATCTCACTTAAGATGCAAAGTTTTGCATTCCACCTACAGATCAAGGGTAAAAGCTTGGCATGACATGCAAGTCAGTAGAGGAATTTTTTCATCAAATCCTTTGTTGCTAAGATATCACCAGAAGAATTTGTGCCTCCTTGCAGCAGGCAAGTTTAGTGCCAACAACCAAAAATTCATGCAAAATGCCTAATCCCTTACTCAGCATTATTTTTTAAAGTATTCAAGACAGATCCATGAAGGAAAAAAAAAAAAAAGCTACCAATTTCTTTAAAGGGAAGGAAAAAAAAATTAATTTTTGCTGCTAAGTTAAACTGATCCTTGGTAGAGTTTATGTGAGTATAATACTAAAACTTCTACCTGCTCATTTCCCAGCCCTGTGTTCTGGACCATCATGTTAAATTCACCAGCTTTACCTGATTTGAAGTAATTATAATTGAAGCAAAAGCAATTTCAGCCCATTAACATCAATCCACTCACAAAGCCCGCAGG